TCATACATCAATATCTCAAAAATCGAATAAAATATCGCTAAACGATTACCGCTACATGACATAGAGATATATTGCACCCACGTGTTTACAGACACCATAAGAGTGTCACAGCGAGTTAAATTGTTCCGCAACCTCCTGTCTGAACGGATAATATAATACAACGTTTATCGTCTTAAAAGAAATTATGCATTTAGCGGTCAATTGACTCTCGTGATCTCTTCGTTGTCGCCACATTTCACACCTCGATGGTTGTTGCAGAAGTGTAGATTGATCGCGTTAATTGCAAACGTCTCATAGCGAGCGCCACACCGGCGCCTTGAATCACGACACAAAGCTTGCAAAGCCGAGGCAATTTTTTGTTTCTTGTCTCACTTGGAGCGACAAATATACGGTCGTCGCGTTCAAACCAAGACGCTAATCGTATTCTCGCTAATAAATCAACGTCGATCGAGAAACTGGTCTATGAAAGCGAACTGGCTGACCCGCTAGCTTCGAATCGACTGTTTCGATTATTCTGGTAAAAATTAATTAAATATCGATGTTGCATGCAGGGACGGCAAGAAATGCGTGCAACTTGCGAAGCATTATTCTTATGTGGGGTATGTGGAAGGTGTTTCACTATATTTTATCATGGAGTTTTCAATTTGTCTATTTTTCAGTTCTTCAATTTCTCAATTTTTCAGTTTTTCAATTTTTCAATTTTTCAATTCTTCCACTTTTCAATTTTTCAATTCTTCAATTTTCCAAATTTTCAAGCTCTAAATCTGCTTACCTCTAAGTTTCTTTGTTTCCAAACACTCACATTCCCTAATTCCTGAATTGTAAAATTCATAAATTCCCAAATTCGTAATTTCCGAACTCCATATCGAAGGAAATATGCCGCCAATCCTGGTTGTAATGTTGCCGTCACAGATGGTTAACGAGCCCGCGGACAGACAGGTAGATATACCGGCATGCTGGACGCACGGCTAATCACGATTTTACGGAATCGATTCGAACGTGGACGGTGTTCTGAACGACGCGTAGACGCGCATTCACGTGTCGGCTTGTAATTAGCCGGAACGTAGTTTCCATCATTCAACGTCTCAATTTTACACGAACCGCGTAACGAAAGAGAGACACCGTCGGGTTTCACCTCTGCTTCGCTCGCGTCACGTCCAAACGTTTTCTGTTTATAAACGACAGCTTTCTAACTATATTATTACCGCTATCTTTGATCGCCAGGTAGGTTTAATTAAAAGTTCGATCAATTAATTTCACGGTAGAGCAACGAAGTTTAATGATACATTTATCGGTCACCGCCGAATTATCTGATTGGAGTAATATTATAATTTGATTTTAATACATGGCTTCTAATATTTTCTATGAGTTTTAATAATCTTTCTTGATTAGAATGTTGCAAGATCTGATTTAATGTGGTATAGTGATGACCATAATTTTGTTGCCAAATAGTGTAATCGATACGTGATAAATGTTTCGAGTATTGAGATCTGGAAAAATATAGCTAGGCTATTAGATCGATGATTGATTCGCTAAGATCATTATATGATATTTTGATATCAGAGTCTTAATATAAACACCATTACAAAAATACAAATGTCCTAAAAGTTTAAGAAATTATACTTTTCAATCATTTACAGAGTGCTTAAGCAGAAGCTTCTGCGACCTAGAAATCATAAATTGTTTGTAGGAAAACAAATTTAATGTACCTTTAATAATTATAAAATTATCAGCAAAATATTTTACAAAGACAACAACATATGAAGTATTCATCAAAAAGTGACAAATAAGTGTCTCATATATTTGTCTAAAATAAATTTATTTGTCTAAAATAAATTTTAGACAAATCAAGTTTCTTATAAAATAAATTTGTTTAAATAATCCTATGATTTGGTGCAGAATAACACACAACATACACCTTTTCGGATCTTAATTAGCAATTAAGTTGATTGAAGCTAATCAGGTGTAACATTCTAAATTCCAATCACTTGTCATAACTTAAAATTCGTCAAGACAGGAAACGTGTTAAGAGTTCGTTGCATTAGTAAATCTCCGGCGTAGAAATCATGCTATTGCGATGACGTTACTCGAGCATCATCGCTCACCTGTGAAATCACCTGACGTATTGGGTGCCGGCAGGTTGTGCCTTGATCAGACATCCGGCGATTTTCTAATATTACGTCCTCGCCTAGCGAACGGCTCGTGTTCTCATGCATGACTTTATTGTTGGCGAGCTCGTTGAATGAAACGGCGCTGGTATCATGTCCTATAAGTATCCCACTTGACTCGGCACAATCGATACACGATCTTGCTGTAGATCGACTCGATCGTGATTCAGGCCTCGCTGATAGAAACTCGTCGGCCCGTTGAACTTTAAAATCCTCGCAGAACCCGAGAAAATCCATTTTACCATTGGCGTAGCCACCGTTTCTGAATACGCCTACTTCTGAATTCACTCGCGTTATATAGCCATATTCTAAGAACGATAGATCATGCGTTAGGTTAGGCATTGCCTACGCGTTGAATTATCTACGTTAAATTATTTATGCGGTGAATATACTGTGTTGTATCGCAGTGCATTATATATTGCAAGATTGCGTTCTGTTGCGTTATATTGCCCACGCGTTAGATTATGCGTCAAATTATCTATGCGTAGTATAGAAAGCTATTATATTATCTATACGTGGTATTATCTATGTGTTATATAGCCACGTGATAAATTAACCATGTATGGAAATATCGACACATTGTATCGCCACGCATTAGATTAACCGTGCGTTGTATCACCACATGTTGGATTACCTATGCGTGGAATTGTAGCTGCGTAGTATCGTCACTTGTTAGATTGCCTACGCATGGAATTGTCTACACATTAGATTACCTATGCGTGGAAATATCTATGCGTTGAATTACCTATGCGTGGAAATATCCATGCGTTGAGATACCTACGCGTGGAATTATCAATGCGTTGAATTACCTGTGCGTGGAATTATCCATGCATTGAATTACCTATACGTGGAATTATCTATGCGTTGAATTATCTGTGCGTGGAATTACCTATGTGTTGCGTTACCTATGCGTGGAATTAACCATGCGTTGAATTACCTACGCGTAGAATTATTTATGCGTTGAATTACGTATGTGTGGAAATATCTATACGTTAAATTACCTATGCGCGGAATTATCCATGCGTTGGATTAAGTATGTGTGGAACTATCAATGCATTGAATTACCTACGTGTGGAATTATTTATGCGTTGAATTACCTATGCGTGGAAATACCCATGCGTTGAATTACCTACGCGTGAAATTATCTATGCGTTGAGTTACCTACGCCTAGAATTCTCAATGCGTTGAATTATCTGTGCGTGGAATTATCTATGCGTTAAGTTACATACGCGTGGAATTATCCATGCGTTGAATTACCTATGCGTGGAATTATCCATGCGTTGAGTTACTTACGCGTGGAATTATCCATGCGTTGAATTACCTATGCGTGGAATTATCCATGCGTTGAATTACCTATGCGTGGAATTATCTATGCGTTGAATTACCTACGCGTGGAGTTATCCATGCGTCGGATTGTGCACGTGTCATATTGTCACGTGTTGAATTACCCACGCGTTGTATCACCTACACGTATCGCCACGCATTACATCGCCACCTTCAGTCCCACGCAACATCCTAACTTCCAGGTGTTACGCCAATGCACCTAACCTGTTCACAACGAAACATTCTACATATCAGTACTCCAGTGTTCAAGAACGTGGATGAAATTGTTTAATACTGAACTTTGTAATGGAGTTTCTTGAACAGGAAATCGTTACGAAACAATTATGAAATTGTATGAATATATGCGTACCGTGGAGGTGTCTAGGGTTTCTTGGAGTATTCGGATCAAGTAGTTATGAAATTCAAGCGGAGTAAAGGAAGAGAATGGCTAGAACGTTAATCAATCCTAGAGAACAATGGCGGACGATAGTTGTACTGGGAAAAACGAGCACAGAGTGTGGCAAGTAATTTCAGATTAGCCTTCTCGCGTTTCGGGCGGGCTAATCCGCGGAATATAATTAGCCTGGGTGACTAACACGAACGGTTCTGCTAAAATTAGCGAAATGTAATCATAACCAAGAGCAGGTGGCCATTTTACCCTTTTCAAGAGTTTGACAAGCGAGGATTGTGCGAACCGTTAAGAACACTGGCTAGTAGTGAGTCACCAGGACTAATTATAATCCTTTTCGTCTGTAGGCATCCTTGGATCCTTTTCTTTCATCGTTCAAAACTTAATTTGTGGCCGTATAATAACATTACTTATGGTCCCTAAAATGCAAATATGGATTAATTTGGATGAAAATCCTTTGGGACTTAAATCATTTCTTGAGCACTCACATTTGTTAGTTAGATATGATTTGACTTCCCACCGTTAGTATATAGTTGTCACAAATTATAATTGTGAGCTCAATTTTAGTATAGTTTAAGTGTTAAACAAGGCATGTGGATGTGTTGAAAGTAAGTTATTAATAGCTGGAACACGGATGAATCATTTGGTACAGTGAATACTTTTTCAAAGCACTATGTAATTTTTATTTTTACGATATAGTAAAATTCAGTTTTTACATTTCTATATGCTAACTGCAACAATTCCACTAAATACGCTTTGGTAAAAACTTGATCGAGCAATAACTTTCGTCTAAAAATACCCGTAGTTTACATCGATAAAGTAGTCTATAACCCATAATACTTAGAACATATAAAAATACATTTATATAGCAAATAGTTATTATCGGAAGATAACGTTCATGAAGCGAGTAGTAATGTTTTGAAACGACTGTCTTACAACATTCCCAAACGGCGCCATGATGTAATCCCGATATAAACAGCATGATCTCAGAGGTCACGGAATTAACCGAGTATTATCAGCGTCCTCGGTGATATTTACTTAATTATTTAACACGATTTTCGCCACTGAGTCACACGAACCGTGCGTTACTTCTGTTACAGGTGCACAAGAAAATGCGCGTGAGGTCAAGGTGACGGCAGAGAGCATGGAGAGCATGCAAGATAGCGGCGGGCTACGGGTCGATGGCTCGAGAGGAAGTGTCGCGACGGGTTTACCCAGCTCGAAAACGGTGAATCAGTTGAAAATAGTGGAAAGTGGTGATGAAAGTGGCAACCTGGTGAACGTTGGCAAACAGGAGATGGATCCTTACAGGGAACTGGAACTCTATCTCGCCAAAGTTAACGTAAGTTCACTCAAAAATACATCTTCTAACAAAACTGATCAGTAGGCTTACAACATTATATACAAGTCTACATACTACAACAAAACTGATCCACAAATAGTCTTTATATTTTTACAAAATAGATACGCAAGTAGGCTTCATATTCTAACAAAATAGATCTAAATATTTAAATAAGGATTACAATGAAATTCCACATCGTTAATTTACTAAAACAAATATTGTTTAGGTTAACTCTCTCACTGTATAATTTTCTGAATTCGCTGCAACAAAGAATTAAGGGAAGTTTTTTCAGTAAATCCATGATTATAGAAAATAATGACAATTTTCGAAATATTTTATAAATATCGAGTAACAAGTTTTATATCCTGTTAATTATTTAAACTAAAGTTTTGATTCTGTTAATAATCATTTGAGATAATCGTCGTATTCTCCTGCGTCTCCGCAAATAATGGACGCTAAGGAAATGCAAGGTGATGCAACACGAATCAATATTTCAAAATCGATCATTTTTTTATCGATTCTCTCCGGTCTGAAAGGGGAATTCGAAGGATCCCAAGAGCCAAGCATGCACAACAAATTGAACGTGACGCCACGATCGCCATGCAAGATTCCAAAACACGTTTCGTCCCTGACCGCCTGGTCCACCTCGTGGTACGTCGGCCAGTTCGTCGTCTTCTTGTTTTTTCATACTTTCTTTTTCTTCATTTTATATTTGCCTACCGCGGGTACAGCTGTTTTAGGAACTTCGATCACAGGAATTAACGCGTTGAATGACACCCGAAAGCGCAGGCCAGTTTTTGCTCCCTGAACACCTTTGATGGTGGACCAATTTCGGATCTGACTTATTTGGTTGGTTGGATTGAATTTTTGTTATGTGATACGTGTACTCTTTGATTTAGGAATTATAAAATATATAAATAGTTAATTGTACATCGTAAAATATGTTAATAGTTATACATTGTAAAATATATAAATAGTTAATTACATATTGTAAAATATATAAATACGTAGTTAATACGTAATTATAAATTATGGACCATGTAAATGGAATATAAAGGCAATATATTATAGACAAACATGTATTAGAGAATTTCATTGGGAGTTTCAGTTTTAATTATAAGAATGATAAACTTTCATACATGTTACTTATTCACTGTTACCTAAATTCTCATCATTTTCATTATGGCAACGTTTTGATTTTTCAAGTCCTTTCAAAATATTTATGAGTAAAATTTATAGACGTAGACAAATATAACAGAATTATGAAGTATCGAAAAGTTCTCAAAACAGATTGAAACGTCATAATGAAAATGAGTATAATTTCACAATCAATTCAATCCACATCGAATTATATTAAAATTTAACAGTCCTAGAAAATTTAACAATTCTAGAAAATTTTAAATTAAATGTTTCAAGGTAATTTGCACCTCAGTTAACTTGGACTAATCTTAAACAAAGTCGTGTACCAAAAGGTACTCGCAGAATTTCTCTCATTCCGTATTCACGTTTTATCAGAGTTCAGCGTTGCAAGCATTGCGTCATCAGAATGGTATCGCGGCCTCGCAATCGAGACTTATTAGCTCGTCGAATTCCCTCTTACTCTCGTCGCTGGTACCTAAATTGGTACACCTGTTCCAGAATCTCGGCCCATCGAATTAAACGGTGGGACGAGAGAAAACGCGCGACCGGTTTTCATTCCTGGGTCCAAAAGCCTGTGCAACCGTTCCACGTCAAATGGCAGAATGTTAGACCCCCGTGTCCGAATTTGTCGACAATAAGCTAACAAGTACTTAATGTCACGTTGCAGTTGGAACAAACGAAGCGTTCAGACACGACGGATGTTTCTATGATAGTTACGGCATACGAATGAATCGCGTGCTGTTCCTTTTCGCAGCTGGGCAAATATTAGCTTGCTTTTTTCAGTTATCTACTTGCCAGATAGAGTAGTTAAATAGCATTCTCTGCTGTGTTTTATACTCCGTGTTTAGCTATAATTGGCATTAAAACGACGAATCATGCGGATTATGACATTCCGCTGAGTTCATCGCACTCTTGTTTATTTGCTGTGCATACACGGCATCCCGTTTTGATCGGCAAGTGTAAGTGGGTCGAGAATGATTAAGGTTTTTGAAAGTGGAATTTTTGTTTCAAAATAAACCGAAAGCATTACGTCTCATCAGATGGATCCCGTGATTCATCAACATTTGACGAAGGTTTCATTCAATTACCCCTTCGGATAAATGTTCAACTTTTTATCGAATATCAAGTTCTTTCGATCGGCCGGGAACCGCGAAACTCCATTGATCCCAGGCACTCGAAAGATATTTCGAGTAAGAAGCGTCGGAAAGGTCAAAGGCCAGATCGTAAATAAAAATGTCTCTTCGGAGTGTTTCTCGTCTCCGCTTGTTTGTCGGTCGTCCGGTTCGCACGATCGCGGAAAAGAGCAAAAAGCTCCGTAGAAAAAGCACGAGAGAGGAGAGAAAAAGAGATCCGTTTAAGTCATCTGTTGCTCAGCTTGTTGCTCGATCGACCCCTGTTCTTTCTAGGCAAAACCGTACACGATACATGGGCCTTTATGTGTAGCTGCGTTACGTGTCTTCCACGGCCGAATTAATTACTTCGCGGGCAATTAATTAAACGGCTACGTTGAACGAGCGGAATTAATTGGACAGACGGTAGTCTGGTGAGACTTTCAGGAAAATGTATTCGAAAGGTGCAATTTAGTTATGCTTCAATTTGAGGAGAATATTATAGTTTAACAAGGTGGGCAGGAATTTGAGGTTTGGGTTTGAGGTTTTGTTGGAGAGTTTGGGGATTTTTTGGATGGTGGAAATTCTGGCATTTGAGGTGTGGAGATGTGGGGATTAGGAGGTTGGAAAATAGTGGATTTGGGGATTTAGGAGATGGAGAGGTTTGGAATTGGGGATTTAGGGATTAGGGATTTAGGAGTTGGGGACTTAGGAATTGGGGATTTCGGAATTTGAGATATAGGAATTTGGGATTTAGGAGATGGAGATTTATGGAATTGGGGATTTAGGAATTGGGGAATTACGGATAGGGAATTTAGGAGATGGAAATTTATGGAATTGGAGATTTGGGAATTGCGAAATTAGAAGATGAAGATTTATGGAATTGAGGATTTAGGGATTAGGGATTTAGGAATTGGGAAATTAGGAGATGAAGATTTATGGAATTGGGGGTTTAGAAAATTAAGGATGTAGGAGATGGAAATTTTTGGAATTGGGAATTTGAGAATTGTCGACGTGGGAATTAGGAGACTGAGAATACAGAAGATTTTGAAATCAGAATTTTAGAAATTGGAAATTTGGAAGTTGATAATTTAAAAATTCAAAATTTGATAATTTGAAGATTTGAAAATTACAGATTTGTAAATTCAAGGTATGAGAATTGAGAATTTAAGAATATTGAAAATTTAGAAATTCGGAATTTACAAATCAGGAATTTAGAAAACAGGTATTTAACAGATTCCAAATACGAGAATTTAGATATTTTACAAATTCGAGAATTTAGCTACTTGTAAATCTGAATACCTGGAAATGACTTTCAAAATGTGTTATATAACACGAACTTCAAATATTAAATGTAAAATTAAGGCCACAAGACATTAGCAATCACATGTACTCTCTCTTTATGACGAAACTTTATCAATATCAATAATCTCACTTTATATTGCACAATTCAATCATGATACAATTATCATACATTCAATCATCCGATTAAATCAAGTATATTAAAATTCATGGTACCAACAGAATTAATAATAAAACTTACACACTCGAATCAATTTATTCACCACAACAAGGAGCTTCGAAATCACATCAAATTCTTTTGAACCATAAATTCGCACTGCGCATATTTTCTAATAACGCAGACGCTTTCGTCGAAAGACACTGAAATGCAGCCGAGAAGCGAGTGTTTCGGAACATCCTGAAACGTCGATAAACACAGAGATTGACTCTAAATTTGGCACGAGCGAAACGAGTTTCCTCGATCGGTCTGGACTTAACCGTCGCTGATGGGATTTCGTCGAAGTGCATGCATCAATTCGTTCCTCTCGCGACGAACAACGATGGATCCTGTTTACGAAGCCTGGAGAATCGACCTGGCAAGAATTCCAAGGCTCCCAGAATGACCAACGGTCGCCCACCAATTAATTTAACCGATTAATTCTACTGGACGGTCGGCGAATTGCTCTCATTAATTAATTGTCCGGCAACTTCGAGCGAATCGCATGTTGTACAGAATAACGTTTCAGCCGCGCAAGCTTTAGCCTTAAGTGGACGTTCATTATTCTAATTAGTTCATCAGCCGGTTATATCGACGGGACAAGTAATTAAGAAACGGACCCGGCTAAATGTAACACGGAAAACTACTTACATTTTCTTCGTGCCGGGTCTATTAGCTTGCCTAAGTGCATTTTCAGACTTACTTTCAATTTCATTTTATGGAACTTTGCTGTTTATTTATTTTTTCTATTTATAATTCGGTTTGAAATCAGCAAATTTGTAGATTCATTTATGAACTTCAAAATTGGAAAATTCTTAAGTCACAAATTTTGGGAATAAACTTTTAAATTTTTTATTGTCTAAGTTCTTCGTATTCGAATTACTCTTTAAATTTTCTTTTCTTCAAATTTTTTATTTCTATTTTTATTACTCCCAAATTCTCAAACCTCCAAATTCCCTATATTCCAAGTCCCCTATTCCCCCAATTCTCAAGTCCCTAAATTTCCTATTCCCTAAATTCTCAACCTCCTAAATAGCCAATTTCCCAAATTCTAAAATTTCCAAATTCCCTTTCAACCTAATCTCCCACTCCTTAAATTCCGAACTCCCCTAATTTCCCACCCCTTAAATTCCAAAGTCCCCAAATTTCCCACCCCTTAAATTCCTGTCCTCCCTCTAAGCGAACACAATTCGTGAAACGCCCCATATAACAATTCCATTGCAAGATCAACTCTAATGTTAAGAGCACGCCTC